GGGTGTTATTCTTGGGGAACTACTAAGAGTTACTACGGTCTGAGTTGCATAGGCCTGTATATTGGCCCGGTCACATATACATTGGTATGGACTAACAGCAGATTAATTAATCTGGTAATAAAGGAGCAGTTATGCATGAGTAGAAGTGATGGACTGCTTGAAGTACATTTAGCCGAATAGGCCGTTAGTGTACAGAAGTAAGATTCTAAATTCGGGGTTTTGACGTGATATGTTGCTTTAAAACAGTTTAGTCGAAAGATCGCTGTTCTTGGCGAAGAGGTTTATTTTGAAGGGCAGTATGTGTCAACCAAGTGACTAGAGCGGAGTAAGGGGTCCCACTATGGGATTATGGGACAGAGACTGTTGTGTTCTTCACTGCTGCAGTAAAGTATTGCTACTAATATAGGGTGAGTACTTCATTTATCAACGCGGTTCTGTAATAACACACGGAGACCAGGCTTGTCGTCAGACGGTGTACTTTTTACTGTGAAAGTCAGGAACATAACAATGCAGGCATAACAAATCAAGTCATGAGCAACCAATCAGCAGCAGTGAAACAATGTTGAGCACCGACTGCTCGATGAAATCCACCACAGAGACAGCATGGACAATGAGAGAGGTACAGCCCCAAAGTTGAGGACATACTGCAAGTGGTTCTAGAGGCGCAAACTGTAAATGCATATATGTTGTATTTATGTTCAGTGTTTATGTGCCTCTATTTGCACATATTTAAGATTCTTTATGGTTATTTTTTGTGTGTAGTTTCAGGTGTCCAAAGAAAACGCACAGAAGAGAAATAAAACTTTCTAAATCTGAAAGAAGCGTGGTGGTCTTTGAAAACCAAACTAGAACTGAACCAGTGCAGCTACAGCTCCCTTTTAAAAAATTTTTTCAAGTATGTCTATTTTGCAGAAACACTTGGTGAGAGAGTACTGGGAAATAGTTTCCACAGCTGGTCGTGGTGGATTTACTTCATTCACTGGAGGGGAACACCCAAGCAGATTTATTATTAACTTGTGTAACTCCTCCTACTAAGTAAGCCCCTTGCAGTTCCCCTCTGTCCAAAGGTTGCTCATAGTGGACCCGCGTTGTTTCTGCCTTGTGAGGGGAAGAACGGCAGCTTGAATTTTATACACTTGATTACTGGTAGGTGTTACTCTGTTACAGTCAGTCATTGTATGTGCTTTGTCTCGTCTAAGTGTAACTGAACTGAATGACCAGTGTAATCGGTAAGTTATCTTCAGGGATAAGGGAAATGCCTTCACCTTACTCATTTGCTGACGGGGTTAACCACAAACCAGTGTGTTACAGTAGGTGAATAGTCGGTGTTTGGCTCCTCTTGCACTAAGGTCTGTGCTCCACAGGCTCCGCGATGAGTAAAAAGCTGCTGGTGGATGTAGACTGTGGCGTGGACGATGCTCAGGCCATCATGTTGGCGCTGGCTACCCCCGGCGTGGAGATCCTGGGCATTACCTGTGTGCACGGAAACACCACAGTGGAGAATGTGTGTAAGAACACACTGCGTGTTCTGCAAGCCTGTAATAAACTTGAGGTGGGTCCAGTGTGGTTATTGACTGGGAAATACTGTGATGTTTGTAGACAAGCATCAGTGTTGACTCAAATCATTACTGTTGCCAGACTTAAAATTGAGTTAATCGTGGTTGTGAGTTAAGTGAATTAATGGAATTTACTGCTTTCATGAGACAAGGAAGGGCGCTGTTTATAAAATAACATGTTCCTCAAGCCATGTCACATGAGGTTGGGATGAGACAAACTGAGCAACCACTGTGAGCTCAGTTTTGGCAGACGCATGAGCTGCATAATCAGATCGACCATTTCTTTTAGTATTAAAAATCAGTAGTGCTATGTAGTTTTGCCCAGGTGTTCTGATTTGAATTATAAAGACATAAAATATCTATAGTAGGAGGAGTAGTCTACATCAGAGTCAGATGGGTTGAACAACAAATGCATTTGTAGGGAA